AGAGCAGGCAAGCCCGATCCAACGATTACTAGGAGACGAGGAGAGGACGCGAGCGTTTCTACCGGTCAGTTACTACTCGAAATCGAAATTGCAATCGCCGCGTTAATTAATTTAATTAATTACCAATGGGTAAGTAAATCGTTTCTGTCCCGGAGAAAAAGGAGGAGGAGGAGGAAACCGCGGCGGTCATATCGCAAGCGTCTCTCGCTGGCGCGTGGGCCAGGGAGTGAGGAGGCTACTGAATCAGCTGCGGCTCAGCTGAATCTGCGCAGCTGCCTGGCCCTATATAAGCTCGCTCGGTGCCTGCCCTCTTTCCCCTCCACCAACCCTACCCGAGCCGCCCCCTCGTCTCTCTTATCCCCTCCCTCCCTCTCTCTCTCTCTCTCTCTCTCTCAAGCACACAACAGCAACAACTCCGGCCATGGGAGACCTTCGTCCGGCCGCACCGTGGACGGAGAAGAAGACGAATCTTGGCTCGATCTACCGCCTCACCGATCCAAACTTCATCGGTTTCCTCTGTACTGACTGACCCATGGAATTTTTGCAGATCCATTCTTTGCCCAAGGGGATTACGCATAACCCAGCGTGTCAAGATCCACTCGGGTCTGTCCTTTTTGTATGATGAATTCATCTGAATTTGGAACAGATGGGGATTTTTCAGTAACCTGATGGCTGATGGGTTCATCCTCTGTGTAATGCAGGCGCACGCGCGTCTTGGGCCACCTCTCCGTTAGTGGGCCGCTGGCAGCCGGCCCAGGCGTGCCGTCAGCCCAATGGAGGGCCGCATCCTGCCTGCGAAACACTCGGCCGCCTCCTCGCCCACCCAGTGCGCTGGGGTTTTAGACGCCCACCTGCCACCGCCTCCCCGTCCCCATTTCGCACCTCCCCCTCCCCCTCCCCTCCGCCGCCCCTCTCCTCCAACGCCGCCTGCGCCAGGCGAAGGTGCCGCCTCTTCCCCTCCTCGTCCCGGATTTGGTGCCCTGTTTCTCTTCGTCTTACCCGCTTGAATTCGCAGGATGCCTCCAATGGCGGGAGAAGGTAACCCTGGTGAGGGAGGAGGAGGTGAGGCGGGAGGAGGAGGAGGTCCGACGGGCCGTGCACCACCGACGCCACCACCGGCCGCTCCAACCTCGACCCATGGACGGTAAGATCGCGAAACCCCTTTCCCCGCCCAGTTTCTCGACGATATTGCTCCATGTGGGCCGGTATACTCTGGGATTGGTGCTTTCTGACCGTAGACCATGGATATGGCCTTGGTGATCTCGTCGTTTTGCAGTAGAATCAAGCACGTGGTAGCGTTTCATCTGAGAACGAGATGATGTCGTCGTCGTTCTGCACTAGAATCTAGCACTTGGTAGCGATTCATCTCATGTGTAGTGGATTTCGAGGTTCTGCACTGGAATCCGTGTCATGGTTGCATTTCATCTGATGTCTAGTGGATTCGCCGTTTTTGCACTATAATCCAGCTTGTGGTTGCATTTCGTCTGATGTCTAGTGGATCTCGCCGTCTTTGCACTAGAATGCAGCTTGGGGTTGCATTTCGTCTGATGTCTAGTGGATCTCGTCGTCTTTGCACTAGAATGCAGCTCGGGGTTGTATTTGATCATAGGTCTAGTGCTCTTCCTGCCATTACGTCTTGTTCTCTTGTTGTTTTTATCTGTGGACGAACTAGGTGTTTAACCAGATCATGGTTCAGTTGTTCTGTTTAATTGCCAGATAGAGAATCTGACATTTACACAAGGTAAAGTTTTGTATGTGGTTGGCTTATTGTGGTCTGCTCCAAGTGTAATGTTACATGTAGTGAAATATTCTGTTTAATTGAGAACTTGGTCTTGGATTTCATTGCTCCTAGTGTTTTTGTTTCATTTATGTGACAGGCTGTGTGATGAATTACATAATTTCTTACATCGCGCTTCTCCATTTGTTATGCTTATGAATTGCTGTGATGTAAGCTTGTTATCAATTTTCATGGCTGGAGCGATTTTTGTTC